CAAAAGATATGCTAAATCCTTACTCCTGAGCCAACCACTACAAACCATTTTAGTATTAGAGAGTTTATTTATTTTTATATGTGTGTGTGTGTATATATATATATATATATATCTACAATACATACATATATTATATGAGACATTTCTCAACAACATTTAAAGAAACAGGAAAAAAAAGCCAAACAAAAGTTTCTTACTAGTTTCTTACCTTTGCCAAGTTGATTGAAAGCCCAGGAATCTCTGCTAATCCTCCATCCATAATAGATTTCTGAGCGACAATAACTCCAAAGGTGGGTAGACAAGAGAAGTCAGCACTTCCTTCATAAACAAATTTCAAATCCTTTGGATTTTTGACTGAGGCTCCTACTCCAAGGGCATACATAATACTTTGCAGTTCCGTATAAGAAGAAGAAAATGAAGGAAATTTATAGCCAATAGCTCCAGCCTAAAAGAAAACAAGGAAGACTATTACCCTTCACCAAAAGTATTTGCTGGTCTGTATTTTAAAGTAAAATCTCAATAATAAACTAAACTATTTTCAGTCTTAAAGTCAGATTTCTAATTTTCTTTAGCACTATAACATCCGTGAGTCACAAAACACTGGGATCTTTATGTAATGGATTTATTTTTTATTTACCTTACCACTTTTTTTTTTTTTTTGGTCTTTTTGACCCTGTAGCACCAGCTGGCCTTGAACACACAGAGATCCATCCGCCTCTGCCTCCCGAGTGCTGGGACCAAAGGCATGTGCCACCACACTCGGCTTCCTTACCACATTTTTTAAAACACATGTAAAGCAAAAGTAAACTGACAAATTTCACATGAATTAGTCTTATTAATGTTTCTAAAACAATGAAAAACATCTACTTACAGCCATGTTAAAATTTTCCAAAATACAGTTTAATCAATGCTTTCCTGTAAAAGAACTGATCCTCTGGGGAATCAGAAAAGAGAAAAAGAACCACTAAAATAAATATCCTTTGCAAAAATTGCCACTGAAGGAGGGTCATCATGATGGTCAAGAAAAAGAATGGCACTTATCAAACTGTACTGAAGAAAAGCAAGTTACATTTTAATGCTTAGCTTATGTTTTCATTCTATCAATGTTTAGTTAGGTCACATTTTACAAGTTTTTTTTTTTTTTTCAATTAATGACTTGGGAAAAAATTTTGTTGTTTAAATGTGAAAGTTTTGCTGATGACAAGCACTTTGAATACAAAGGTCCATGTATTCTGTTTGACAGGAGAGAAGGCACAGCATGAGTCACCTGTGCCATCCCCTAAGTTTTCAAAAATTTCAAAGCCATATAAAAAACATTTACAGTCAGTTGTAAAGAGACAGAGAGGCAGAATGAGGACTGCATGCAGAGGGTGGCCTGCACATGAAGGGTGGACTGCATGTGGAGGGTGGACTGCATGCAGAGGGTGGCCTGCAAGTGGAGGGTCGACTGGCAGGTACACCTCACCTGACATAAACACTAGATACGGCTTCACCTAGGGCTTGTTCATCAGCAGTAGGGGTAATACCTTTTTTCCTCTTCTATCCAGTATCTCATTGGGTTAATTTTCAAATACCAGGGATGGAGGTGGGTAGACAGCTAACATCAATCAGAAAACTAACTTCATTTGTCATACCCCCAAAGAGATATTATCAGGAATTACATGCAGAAGTATCCCTCTGAAAAATACAGAAAGGCTTTCGGCACCTGTACCAATCAGAAAAGCCAAGGACAGAAGCTGAGCAGGGCACCTCCCATGCTCCTACCCCACTTACATACCATGAACTTTGGAAAATGATACCCAATTGCCCTAATCGCCTTTCAAGACAGTCTTCCGTCAAGGCAAAGAGAAGCATGGTACAATCCAGAGACATCTAAGAGTGGATCAAGGAAAAGTTGAAAGAAAGAATAAAGTGATCGGTATAGCTTCGGAATTCACCCCAAGCTACATGCTCATGTAGTTCAACTGCCATGAATTCCCTGTGTTAAAATTAGTTTCATTCTAAAGTGAACCATAAATGGTTTCTGAATAAATGCCCCTGATTTCCTCCACTGTGAATGACAGAGAGTGAGTACACTGAAAAGAAAGGCTAGAAAGAAGAATAGAGAAAGGAAGGAGGGCAAGTCTCTAGAAAAGCTGCTTTGGGCATGTTTCACTTACAAATCCCGACGTGGCTGCAGACACTGGGTGACTGGTATGATTTGGCGAAATTCCTTCTGAATCTACTTTACGTAAAACTTCAATAACACTACTCATTGAGTCTACAATTTAAAAAATAAGAAAAATAGAGCTTTATTTTAAAATGTGACTAAGGAGAATTACAATATGCTAGGTAACAGTTCCTACAAACCACCCCCACCACTCACTCTCCAGAGGATGGCCCTGCACCCATGTATATACAGGTAGCACAAACTGGACTAAGTAGGCTACTATGAAAAAGCACCTATGAAGTTGGGAAGGGGTGAGGGTAGGGGGTGGAAGGTGAATCTGGAAGGAGTTAGGGGAAAGAGTAAGGGTGACTACAATCAAAATACATTGTATGCATGTATGAAATTTTCAAGGAATTAATAAAAACTACTTTCCAAAAGGACCCCACATAGTCTCAGTTGTAGCTTAGTAGTAGAGTGTGTGCCTAGCATGCCCAAAGCCCTGCATTCTACCCTTAGCACCACAAAACATAAACATGTGAAATAGTCTCTGCCATAAAAGAACTTAACACACAGTCAATAAGCCAGACACTCCTAGAACAAAAGCAGTACAGAACCTAACATTACCATTAGATGTTCAAGTGGCAGGAATTTTAGCTAACAGAGAGAACAATACAGCCCAAAATATCTGAGAATATTTTGCTGAACATGTGGAGCCCGAATTTTTCCTTAAAAGTACTAAAATTACACAGGGGTGATAAAAGGAGGAGGAAGTGGGATAGAAAAGTAGAGAAACAACAGCAAAAGCAAAGTGCTAAGTCAAAGCCACATCTATTACTAGACAAAAGGAGCTAAGACTAAGTAAAATAGACTTAAATGCACTTTTAAGGAAATAGAGAAAATGGGGTCAGATTAACACAGAATATGACTAGGGGCTGGATCGAGAGATGGTTCAGAGGGTGAAGAGCACATACTACACTTTGGGGGAATCCAATGTCCCCTTCTGACCTCTGTGGGCATTGCATAACATGGGTGCACTTACATACATGGAGGCAATACACTCATACACATAAAACAAAAACAACAAACAAAAAAAAGAGCACATACTGCTCTTACAGAGGACCTGAGTTTGGGTCCCAGCACCCACACTGAGTCACAGCAGTCCACAACACTCTGTACCTCCAGCTCAAAGGAATCTGATACCCTCTTCTAGACTCTGCGGACACTAACATGTACATATCCACCACACACATACACACACAGACACACACACAGAAAATTATAAAATAATCTTTAAAAAAAAAAAAAAAGACAGGGCTGGAGAGATGGCTCCATGGTTAGAAGCCCTGACTCTGCTGCCAGAGGGCCCAGGTTTGGTTTCCAACATCCACGTGGAGGCTAATAACTGTCTATAACTTCAGTTCCAGGGATCTGACGTCCTCTTCTGGCTTCCATAGGGATTGCATACCTAGCTGCACTTCCATACATGCATTCAAAATGCTCATACACATAGACAACACATAAATTAAATAAATAAATAAATAAATAAATAAATAAATAAAAGGGCCCAGGTTTGGTTTCCAACATCCACGTGGAGGCTAATAACTGTCTATAACTTCAGTTCCAGGGATCTGACGTCCTCTTCTGGCTTCCATAGGGATTGCATACCTAGCTGCACTTCCATACATGCATTCAAAATGCTCATACACATAGACAACACATAAATTAAATAAATAAATAAATAAATAAATAAATAAATAAAAAGTAAGACACCATATGGCTAGAAAATGGAAGACTTTGGGTTTTTTTCTTGGGTCTTTTTGTTTGTTTGTTTGTTTGTTCTGTTTTTTGAGGTTGGGTCTCTCTGTAGTCCTAGATGACCTGGAACTTGCTATGTAGACCAGGTTAGCCCCTATCTCAGAGATCTACCTTCCTCTGCCTCCCAAGCACTGAGATTAAAAAACATGAACCACCACCCCCAGCAAAAAATGGAAGACTCTGAAAACAGCCTTCAGCTGTGGAGAAAGTACATGTAACACAAATAAGTAAACACCCATTCCCATCCATCCACCAGCCACACATAAACCAAGAAACCAGAATCATAGGAAAACTGTTAAAACTGACTGTTGTAGCACAAAAAATATCTTAAATATGAAGCGTTCTAACACCTACTGGAGCAAAGAATTGGATGACAGCTGCACATGGGAGGAAACAAATGTTGCCTCTGTCCCCTCAACCAAAGCCGGATGGCTTGGGACTATTTACCGTGGGTAGTCTGAGGCTTGCTGGCATTGCTGAAGTCACAGATCTTCTTCCAGTTAGCCTTCACTGCCTCGGGTGTCATTGGCTGATTCTGCTCTCTTACAATGGCTCCAAGGGTCCGCTCCCAGCGTACTAGAAATGAAAACAAAACTAAAAGGCTGAGCACACAGCTTTAAAGACATAATGTAAGATGCTTAAAAGCCCCTTTAAAAATTCAAGATAAAGGAAATTCAGACAGAAAAGAAGATTCCAACTTCTAAAGAGTTTTACTAAAAGCCTATGAATGCATTTTTCCTTTAGAAATACATTATGAGAAATGTCAATTTATTTTTAAAAAAATACTTGAAGCTGAAAGGCAGTGGAGGAGGAGAATGAATAAAAACAAAGTATAAGGACATAAATGTGACAATAACAAGGCAAAACTCCAATTTACAAAAATTTAGCCACAAACAATTCTCTCTTAACCTTCCTTTGTTCATCCTTCATTTCCACAGCTCCACAAGAACCTTACAGATCCACAAAAAGTCACTGCTATATAAGTTCTCTAAAGTATTTTAATATTGTTTACTTTTTAAAAAATTCATAGGAACAAATAATCAGTAATAATATTTAAATATAATGTAATGGTCAGGCATTGATGATCATTAAATTTAAGACATCTTAAGGAATGAAGAAGATGCCAGTTTCTAGATTTTTCCTGCTGGAAAAGTGCTCAGATATAGCTGTGACTGCAGCACTTACTTTGCTATCTTAAATCAGTATCATAAGACACTCAGATGCTTGAGAAATATGCTTTTTAACATCTGAAAAGAACAGTCATTAATGTAACAATACCCTTCAGTGATATCAATCTTTTAAACAATTCAATTAATTGTATGATTAATTTTGATACCAGAAGACAATCGAAAACAAGCTGAGAGAATAAATTTTTGACATTTTTTAAAATGCTATAGAGCAACTACTGTATTTGGAGCTCCAAAAGGTTGGAGAGATGAAACAGAAAATGAGTGAATGAATTTACTACTGGAGAAAAAATAATTCCCATATACCAGCTGCAATTTCTGTCCTAGAAAGTTGTCCAATTTGATTCCTCACTCTCTCCTGATGTCAAACAGAAAAGGATGACATGAGAATGGGAGAGCCCGCCTACAGTCCACATAGAATAGGCTCTTCCCGTCTTTCAATCCGCTCTCCCTCCCACGTACTCTTCTGCTGAAACTGCAAGAACAAACACGTGGGATGCCAGAGACGTTTGAGGATAAACAGCACCAGAAAAAAAAATTATGCTCTCCTTAAGAGAAAAGGACAGGCCAGGGTCTTGCCTATAGGAGAAACCTAAGGTTCCTGCAGGGTAACAGTCATGCTTTAGAATGCCTGTTGCCATAACTGTATTCAAGTTTGAATGTGTGTGCACTAGATCCAGTGACTGGGAATTTAACACAATTCTTATCCATTTTTAATGGATATGCAGATTCTAAAATGGAAAGAAAAAAAAAAACTAAGGCAAGCCAAAAATCCCAAACAAGACTTACATTTTCCAATCCATCCTGCTCCAACCTAACAAAAAGAAAGAAAAAACATATCATCTAATGTAGTACAAGAGAATTTTTTTCAATTACGAGGAGTATTAGAAGGCTAGATGACAATGGATAAAAAAAAATACGGCTCTGCGAAAGTTCCCTAGTGCCAAGACTCTGCTATGCTGATGCTATCAGAGCAGAAGCCTAAAGCAGACAACGTGGAGGAGACGCATGAGGCAGAGATAATACAAATGACCACATTCTAACACCACTTGTTTTATTTCTGAATTCAATACAACCTTGATGAGGGAAAAATGTCTGCTGAAAAGAAACCATCATACTTGCAGATTCTACAACCATTATTTGCTAGAACTTACTTGAATTTCATGACAGAAGAACCATATCACCAGCAGACATCTTAGGGACTCTAGGACCAAAAGTATGACTTTTTTTTTTAATTTGGAACTGAACTTTTTTTTACATTTTTTTAAAAATATTTTATTTAAAAATGTAAAAAAAAAAAAAAAAAAGTTCAGTTCCTAATTGGGGCTACAGGGAGACCCTGTCTCAAAAAGACCCCCCCAAAAAAATTTATTATTTTAATTTTATGTGTATGAATGTATTGCCTGCATGTATGTGAGTGCACCCGTGTCATGCAATGCCGCAGAAGTCAGAGGGCTTCGGATTCCCCTGGAACTGGAGTTAAGGATGGTTCGTAGCCGCCATGTGGGTGTTGGGAATCCAATCCAGGTCCTCTGCAAGAGCAGTCAGTGCTCTTAACTGCTGAGCCATCTCTCTAGCCCCAAAAGTATGACTTTTCATCACCCTCTGCCTTTTTGGTAATATGCTCACACCTTTTATAATCTATCCAATCAACAGTGAGTTTATCAGCTGCAGTTTTAACAACAGGCAAAGGAGACACTGTTGAGGTAGGCAAATGGGGTAGGGAATTGGGAAAGGAGGCAGACTCTCAAGGAGGCAACTTGAAACTTTCAAGCTCTAACCTTTCAACAAACAATCTTCAAAACACTTGTTACTGGTTACTTAAAATAATTCAGCAGACTATCCTCAGGCCTCTTGGGGTAAGTCTATAGTGCAGCTCTCCGAGCGCCGGGACTCCCTAAGCCTCATTCACCCTTCCATTCCCCCCCCCCCCCCCCCCCCCCCCCGCCGTTCTATATTCCTAGTTTGGGCCCTGCGCCATTCCTAGTCTTGGGGCCCCAGACACCTGGGGAACCAATACTGCTTCCTGATCCTTCTCACCAAGCGCAACTCGGTCCCTTTCTTGGGCTCCAGGAGCACCGCTTCTAGTCCTGGCCCCGCCCTCACCTCTCTCTGCTTCCCTGGGCCTGCACCACCGGCTAACTCTCCTAGCCTGCACTACTATCCTCAGGCCTCTTGGGGTAAGTCTATAGCGCAGCTCTCCGCGCGGGACTCCCTAAGCGACACTCACCCTTCCATCCCCCCCCTCGCCGTTCTATACTCCTAGTTTGGGCCCTGCGCTATTCCTAGTGTCGGGGCCCCAGACACCTGGGGAACCAATACTGCTTCCTGATCCTTCTCACCAAGCGCAACTCGGTCCCTTTCTTGGGCTCCAGGAGCACCGCTTCTGATCCTGGCCCTGCCCTCATCTCCCTCTACTTCCCTGGTCCTGCAACACCCGCCAGCCTCTTTCTGGGGCTGACAGCCTCTTTCTGGGGCTCTGAGGCTTACCTTTACTCTCCCTGATCCTTTGCATCCAGTACAACCCAGCTACTCAATCCACTCCCTGGGAAATCTTGGGGCTTCTTCCCTCCCCATCTGCCTTTGCATCCCTG